CGCATAATTCGTTATAGCGTTAACGAAGATTCTTATAACGAAGTCCTGATCGGCTGGATCAGCAACTTCGTTATATCAAGGTGTGACTGTATAGGCAATGTTATTATGAAAATAACATGATTTAGCATTAAAGGTTCTTAAGATACGGAAGGTATCAGAAGGTGTTATTTTGTTCATGAAGCCTTTATATTCAGCTACATAATGGTTTCTATCTTTAAGTTTTTCTATGAAAGTGTCAATATGCGTACATCTAATAACGTGTTCATTTATGTTATATGCCTAAGCTGTGTTTAATTGATGTGATTTTCTAATTTTTTCGAATGTGATGACAACATCACATGATGAAGAATATCGATTTCTATATTAGTCCATAATGGAAGTAATTGATCCAAAATAGGAAAGAGCTCTATTGATATGATTTTGTATAATTATACTAAGAACTGCTTTTAGTTTATAGGTAGGATTGAAGTGATGAAGATTTGGAGAAGGATCCTCATTGATTAAATTGAAGAGAAGTTTTAGATGACTCAACAAGGCATCATCTATAGCGTCCAATAATAATTTTCTATTGTTGAATTCTATAAAGATATTAGCATTACCATTATGGAATTTCTAGTTTATATTTATAAAACCAGGTTTGCGAGAAAAAAGGAAAGATAAAAAATTTAATTTATCTATCCTAATATCATCTGGCATAACAAAAGCTAAGAGTGATGCGAAAACATTTCCTTTTTTATTAGGTTGAGTCATGTGAGAAGAGTTTTTTAGGTTATGATGGTGATCATCTTTGTATAACTTTTGATTATATTTGTTGTTGTTGATTGGATTGTGTGATAACGCGTCAATATTATTATTACTATGATTAAGATCTATAAGCGCGTCTACAATATTATTATATTTAGTTTGTTGTGTAACTGACGCGTAAGTCTGTTTATTATTTATTTTATTATGATTATTTGATGACGGTTTGTTTTGATATATAGAAGAAGGTTGTTGTGTGTTAGAAGGCATTAGAGACGAAGAGAGATTATTATGTCGTGTAGTATTTGTATCTGTAAGTATGTCGTCATTGTTGAGCATGTCCATTCGTGAGTTTAGTTTCTCTTCGTCAATAGTTAAAATAATATCATCATTTTCTTTAGTAGGAAGAGCAGTTTCAATTGTATTTGAAATTATATTTTCTGTTTTGTGTGTTCTATGATTACTCATTCCAGTTTCATGAATTTTATATACACAAGACCTTGTGAAATTGTCTATAAAATTATTATTAAGAAATATTTTTTGAGCAGTACATTCTGCTGAAAAAGCTTTAAGGTATTCTTTGTTTAGTTTCCTAACAAGCCAGAAATCTTCTGGTGTTTCATAAGAGAGAAATTCTGCAATGATAAAATCTCTTTTTTCAAGTTCAGGCGTAATGTAGTTTTTCAATTTTTGAAAGTCTAAGATTTCTTTAGTAAAAAGGTTTTTAAAAATATCAAGGGATATATTATATGATAAAAGTTTTAATAAAAAATAAGTTTTCTTTGAAAAATAAAATTTTTGTTTTTTCTAAATTTTTAGGTATTGTAAAGAGTGAGAAAGAGTTTTTAAATTTGTTAACAACATTATCATCAGTTTTGTTATTACGATAGTTTTCATCATTTTCGTAATTTTGACCAATTGATCGCTAATTTGCGTTAAGGAATTACGACTCCGTTTAGCAATGATCTATGAAATTATACTTAACAATCATTTTGAAATATCTCACTAAATATTAGTTCAATTAGGTTGAACTTATATTCATTGGAAAGCTCTTGTCAAGACGGTTCTAATGATACTATTTTCATTGAAACATTGATCATTAGTTTAAGAGTTATTCCATTTAACAATACTTACTAAAATATAATAAAAATTAGTATTATTTTAGGTGATAAAGATATTTTAAAAAGATTAATAATTAGTAAAATAAAAGATGCAAAAAATTTTAAATAAAGCTTTTTTTAGATAAAAAATATTAACATAATTATATACTTTAAATATATTTTAAAATAAAATATAAAATAAAATATTAAAATATTCATTTTCTTTTTTAAGTAATAAAATTTTAAAATAATAGATCAAGAATTAATTAATAAAGGATATTAGCAAAATTCATGCCTTTAATAATTCATATTTTGACAAATAGATTCTTTTTATAAAAGATAGCAATTAAAGAAAGATGATTAGAAAAAAAAAAATCATTAAAAAGTTGATAGATAAGTAGAATTAAAAGAAATAATAATGTGAATAAAATTGAGATTAATTATATTTAAAGAAATTTTGAAATTATTATTAATATTTAATATTATAATTTTTGCTAATGTTAATATTAAAATTGTCTATTAGAATTATATAAAAATTTGAATGATAATTATTTATCAAAATATTTATTAATTTATTTTAAATACTTAAAGTTTTTTGTATAATATAATATGAATAATAAATTTAAAACTTAAATTTATTTTAAATTGAAAATCTAAAAAAATAATATAATTAAAAAAGAACTTTTAGTTAAAAATATGAGAATAAAGATTATTTCTAATGATTAGATTAATATTTTAATAATTTTGATTTAATTGGAAGAATAAAAAAAATACATTAAATAGATTATTATAAAAATTATTATTGAAAATTTTATAAAAAGTAAAATTAAAAAGATTTTGTTTAATTTGAAGATATTTATATCCTATAAAAAATAAATTAATTTGATATCATTTTAATTTTTATGTACAATTTTAATGTTATGAATAGCAAATAAGATTAAATTTGAATTATTAATAATATTTATTAAAATATTATTTAAATAATTATTATTATTATTAGGATTCATACTGATCCTATTTTTAAATTAGTAAACTATATTATTATTGGAAAAAGGAAGAAATTAATTAAATAATATTTGATTAATTTCATTTATAATTCAGTAAATTAGGATTTTAAAATATTAATTTTATCTAAAGGTTATGATATATAGAAGTTTCAAATTCTTTATAATTTGTTAAATAGGTAAAGTCAAAGAGAAAAGATTGAAATGAGACTTTGCTTTCATAATATCATTATTATAGGTCAGTTAAATCTTAATCACTACATTTAAAATTATTTAAATTGATGAAAATATTATCATTTAATTTATTCTGATAAGAGAATTCTATTGATATAAATTTTATTGATTTTAAATTACTAAATATTAAGATATTTTTTATTTTATCTTTTGAAAACTTTATTAGTTTTTGGATTAATTTTCAGGTATTTAAAATTTCAGTTATTTCAGATAAATCAGAAAACTTTGAGAATAATTTCACAGTAATCATCTATTAGTGCTATCAATGATAACATTTGTTGATATGCAAACTAAAGAAAGAGTATTATTGTAAAAAGCATTAATTATTTATATTAAGAACAGTTGCAGACATATGATAGGAGACCTATATTACATCTTGTGAAAATTATTTTCTTTTTCAATTTTTATTAAGAAAAGATTTTCTAAATGTTAAAAAAATTAATTATTTCTTTTAATTTTGTAGTTCTTGATCTCTAAATTCCTCAGATTGATTAATCATGTCATGTAATATCATGATAATGATGAGTTACCTTAAAAAGTGATTTTTTATTTTTCGCGTAACAAAAATTTAATTTTTATTATTAGCATAGATTCTATAAAAACAATCGCAATATCTACCAATCAAATGCAATCAGGAAATTTGGCACGGGATTAAAGAATAGTATAGAATATTCTGAAATGTTAAGAGACGATCCGAAATTTTAAAAATTTTAAAGGTTTTGCTTTTCAACATCGGTTGTGCAAAAAATACGTGGTTTCTAAATTTTTGGTACACCTAAACGGTAAAAGATGTCTCTACAATACAGAGAGAACGAGTATTATTTTCACGATGAGGATGAACAGGTAAATAAAAACATTATTTTGCCGTGTTTTTTTTTAATACTTTATGAGTAACTATTACATTAAAACTAATAGAAAATGTTACTTCGTGCTCTTGCGTTATCTCTTGAAAAGGACAACAATGATTATCGGAATATAACCTCCGGATCCATGGGACTTGGACCAGCGAACCCTCAATCAGGTACTCAATCTCCTGGTCAAAAAAATCATTTTCCTAGAATGGTCATAATTAATCCTCCTAAAAAAAGCATATTTCGAAAATTATTTGAGGGTTTTCTCGGGTATTTATTTGTCTTGATAATCACCTTTTTTTTTTCCTTTGTCCGTGGAAACCTTATTTTTATTTTATCATTTTCATTTATTGTTATTATTATTATTAAACCTTTACCGTTTATTTTTATAGGTTTTGCTTGTTGAGCATTAAAACTTTAATAATTGCTGCCTCCTTTGCCTTTTCATTTATCTTCCTAATTGCTATAAATGTTGATCATCAAAAAGAAATTGAAAATCGAAAGTCAGGTATGAAATTTCTTAATGAATTTGCTTATTTGGATTGTTCTTCCTTTTATTTCATTTCTTTGACCTTTCTTTTTTCTTTTTTTTTCAAAAAAAAAAAATCATGTTAGAGGCAGAACGAGAAATTCAAGAATGCAGCTTGAAATATCTCGAAAATCGATGCAATCCTGTTACAAGGGCACCATATTTGGAAAACAATTGTACTTTTTGGGAAGATTGTATGAATCGAAATCCAGACAATAATGTTAAAGAAGCGGAACTTTATGCTAAGCAAATGGCTCGAATAATTTCCGTATTTCTTGAGAATTTATCATATGAAGCGAGAATGATGTTTTTTATATTCCTTGTTATGATCTTTGGCTATGTAACTTTTAAGCATCATAAATAGCATCAAAAGATCATCGTCAGCTTACTCCCCCTCCTCAAAAAGAGAAGCATGCAATATACTGTATATATAGACATCATATAGAATTCATAAATGAATAATTGATTTATTACAAGACATTAATATAATAATAATTTTTAATTATTACAAGATTTATAGTAGCAATTTTTAAAAATGGCGTTTTCATATTTAATAATAAAGAATTTTTACAATTTTGGCTTTGTCGTTTCCATCCATGCAAATTCCTTGGAGAATTTTTAAAAAAAAAGTTCAGATTTTTTTTTTTTTTTTAAAAAAAAAAAATAAAAATACTGACATTTGAACTTACCAGTTTCTTTTTTCCTCCTGGTTGTATCATCACATTAATAACAATACATCTATCATCATCCTTTAGTGATTCATCAAGAGCATTACTTAATTCTTGAGGAGTTTTCACAAAATAACCTTTACCACCCGTAGCATCAGCGATTAAATCATATCTTACATCTGGTAATAAAGCGGTTGAAGGTAAATTATTTATAGGGGTTTCGTCAAAAGTTTTCGAATCTAAACCATGATATATTCCATTATTATTGATTATCATGATTAAAAGTGGAAGATTTGCGCGAACTGCTGTTTCAATTTCCATTGCACTATAGAAAGAGAGAGAAATTAATTGAAACAAGATGATGTAATTATTTATTATCATTATTATTATTATATATGTATGTTATATAATAATTCACCTGAATCCAAATGCAGAATCCCCTACAATAGCAACGACGCGCTTATTTGGACAACATAATTTTGCTTAATAATAAAAATAACAAATAAGTTAAAAAAAAAAGGATAATTTATAGAATGAGATAATTAAATGATTTTACCTGCCATGGCATAACCCATACCAACCCCCATAGTTGCCATCGTGCCTATAATGATAGAAAAAAAAATAAAATTATATAATTAATTCAATTCCGAATATTTTTTTTTTTTGATTGCTCTTGCACGCAACATTTACCAGCATCCAATCGACATCTAGGTTCTTGTACATCAAAAATGGATCTAGCAATGTCCATGGTATTTGCACCTTCGCTCACAAATATAATATCATTTTTTGGTAATTTTCGTTTGATTTCATAAAAAGCACGATAATAACTCATAGGGATATTATCATCATGAAATTTTTCATTAGTAATCTTAATATTGCTATTAATTTTTTGCTTTAATGAAATGAAATAATCTGATGTCGAAGAATATTTAAAAGATTTTGGTAATGAATCAATAAGCTGTGAAATAACTAGAGGAAGATGACCTAGTAAAGCAATGTTAATTCTAGAGTTATTAAAATGTTCTTCTGGTAATATATCAATTTGAATAATTTTTACATCTTTATTAAATTTTGGAGGTAAACCAAAATGTAAAATCCAATTTAGCCTTGCGCCTAATAATAATATAACATCCGCATCCGCCAACGCTTTTGATCTTGCAGCTGATACGCATAAATGATGATGATCAGACAAAACACCTTTACCCATTGGAGTAGGAAGAAAAGGGATATTTGTCTTTTCAATAAATTCCTTAATCTCTATTTCGGCACGTGAATATGCTGCACCTTTACCGATAATGACTAAAGGTCTTTTAGCATTTACAATTAATCCTATTGCATTATTGATCTGAATTGGGTCAGCAAGTGATTTAGGTGGATCCGGTGCTCGTTCCGGCAACGTTATCGAATCCAAATTTATTGAACCTTGAATATAATTTGCTGGTAAATCAACATAGACTGGTCCAGGTCTACCATATATTGATATCCTAATTGCTTTATCTAATATATTTGGAATTTGTGAAATTGATGGTGGTCTTGTGGAATATTTGGAATTTGCTCTACAGAGCGTTACTTGATCTAATTCTTGGAATGCACCCATTCCTTCTTGATATGTATCAATTGATCCTCCAATTAAAAGAAGTGGCCAACAATTTACTTGCGCGTTAATCACTCCTGCTAACGCATGTACAACCCCTGGCCCTGATACCACCAAACAAACACCTGGACGACCCGTTAGGTATCCTACATATCGTAATTAAAAAAAAATATTAATATTGTTGAACAAAAGTTAAATCAAATATGAATTATGAATTATGAATACCATAAGCACTTGCAGCATAACTAAGTGATTGTTCATTCCTAAATCCAACAAATTTTATTCCTTCAGAAATGATCGCCTCGGCGACCTATGAGCAATTTGAAAGTTGAGAATTTGTAAATTTTAACAGCTAATTTGGTCACCAAATTTTGTAATTTATTACCTCTACAACAGGTATACCAACTATACCAAAAACCACATCAACACCTTGCTTTTTAAGTGCTTTAGCAGTTAATTCTGCACCCGTAATTTTATTACTTTCCATTTTTGTTTTTATATTGTAAAAATTTATTTAAATCTTAAATACCTGATTTTAAAGTTACGATTCTTGATTACATCAGCCAATCAAATTTCGGTTCTTATCTCGGAATTTTTAATGATAATCTCAATAAATAAGCAAGCTTTTTATTTTTTTTAAAAAAAAAGAGAAAATGCCGGAAATATTATCATCGCTCTTTTCTTCAAACCCATACTTTTCCGCAGGAATAGGAGTGCTTGGGTTTGGAGCAGGATTAGCAGCATTACGGCAAGGTTTAGTCAGAGGAAGTTACTTGGCACGTAGAAAGTTACTAGTCTCGCTTGAAATTCCGTCAAAAGACAAATCATATCAATGGTTTTTACATTGGATGTCAAAACAATTAAGTAATAATTCACATAGTCACACACATCAATATGCGGTGCAAACTTCATTCAAACAACATGATAATGGAAGCATAAGTACAACATTTAGTCTTATACCAGGACCAGGTAAACATTATTTTAAATGGAGAGGAGTATGGTTGCAAGTGGAACGACAAAGAGATGCCAAATTGTTAGACATTACAAGTGGGTCACCATGGGAAATAGTTACGCTCACAACATTAAGTAGAGACAAGTATATATTTTCCGAATTATTACAAGAATCAAAAAAACTTGCATTAGAACAACAAGAAGGAAAAACTGTAATTTATACAAGTTGGGGACCTGAATGGAGACCCTTTGGTTTACCAAGAAAACGTAGATTATTAGATTCTGTAATATTAGATAAAGGTATTAAAGAACGTATTATAAAGGACGTTAAAGAGTTTATTAATAATGGTATATGGTATAATGAACGTGGTATACCTTATCGTCGGGGCTATTTGTTATATGGACCTCCTGGAAGTGGGAAAAGCAGTTTTATACAGGCACTTGCTGGTGAATTAGAATATAATATTTGTATATTGAATTTAAGTGAACGTGGACTTACTGATGATAGGTTGAATCATTTATTAAGCAATGCTCCTGAACGAAGCATAATGTTATTGGAGGATATTGATGCTACTTTTACTCAAAAGCGTCAACCAACAGATCAGCAAGGGTAAGTTTGTTTATTGCAGGTGAATTTTCTTCTGACAAAAAAAAAAAAAACTAACGAATTCGAATGTATTTTGATTAGATATCATTCAATGGTTACATTTAGCGGATTATTAAATGCGTTAGATGGTGTAGCATCATCGGAAGAAAGAATAATTTTTATGACAACAAATCATGTAGAATTGCTTGATAAAGCATTGGTTAGACCAGGTCGTATAGACGTTAAAGAACTATTTGATAATGCAAGTGATCATCAAATTAAGACGATGTTTTTAAGATTTTATGAAGGAGAGAATCAATTAGCGGAAGAATTCGTGCAAAGTGTTAAAGGTAAAAAAGTTAGCATGGCTCAATTACAAGGTCACTTTGTGTTCTATAAGAATGATCCAAAATGTGCTGTACGATATTCCAATTCTTTCATTCAAGATGCTTAATTTAATATATTCTCTTTGTTTAAATATTTAAAGTTCTCACGTGTGATATTTCCATTATATATACTATACCATACCATAATCGTGAAACGTATTGAACCCGTGAGCTTAACGTCCTTTTTATAAATCATATCAGATATCCTATTCCGAGCTTTCCATTTATGTTTAATATATATGGAAAAAATCAATTTTCTAAAAAGTTATGGAACTAGAAAGTTTATCAGCCAAGAAATCATTCATTACTCGGCAATGAGACTCTTGGCACAGTTTTAGAAAAGTAATAATAAACATAATCTGCAACGTACATATATCTGGTTTGTTTAACCCAACAAATATAAATAGTTTCACCAATTCATTTTAAGGTCTTGAATGAGCTGATGTTCCAAATTCTCACAAATTTTATATAAAATTCCTTTGGAAATAAATTTTTTTTTTTTTTTTTTAATTCTTTGTCTCGGTTGTATTGAATAAAAATATATATATATATATATATATATATTTTTATTAAGAAATGGTTATTCAAGAACACGGAAATCTTAGTAACTATGTATTATTGAAGGGAGAAACTAAAGGTGCAATTGAAATAAGGGATTTTTTAACAAAAGATATTATTTATATAAAGAAACGATATAAGGTAACTCATAAATTTTTTTAAAAGTAAATAGTTATTCTGAACCGGAAAGGGGAAATAATTTACTAAAGATTTCTAAATAAAAAACATGTGTATGTATAAATAAATAAAAAATAAAAAAGGTTCCTGGGGCGTATGTATCCAAGTTACTTGACCCAGTGTCTAAAGCCGAATTAGCCGAAGTACAAGGAAAGAGATCAAACGCAAAATTAAAACAAATTATTTTATATCAAGTAAGAAGCTTTTCCTTTTCAAAAAAAAAAAAAAAAATTTATTTAGTTTTTTTTTTTTCAACATACTAAGAATAAAATTTTCCACACATTCTTTTGATTAGCCAGATGATATTATAGATTTAAAGGATAGTGGAGTGTTAACCTTCGAATACAGATTCTATTGGGAAGACGAAAAATATTTATGGAAAAGAAGAAATATAGGGTTTAGTAAAGAATTAGAATGTAAATTGGTTCATGGAGATGATCCAGGTATAGGAGTATGTATTTTCAAACAAGAAAGTAAAACTTTAGGTTGTTTAACAATTATGTATTATAATATGGAAAGAATACCTGTACGTGATAAGAAAGGGTTAGAATATTTGTTGGTTATGACGTTATTATCTTTTCTGGATAAATGGGATGATGATAATATTTCTAAACCAAAAAATGAATTTATACTTGGGGAAGAATCAAATGGTGATTTGGTAGAATTACTTGAAGATAGAAAGAAAAAGAAACCTGATAAAAAGAGTGAAAAATTAATCATACAATTAGCCGAAGAAGAAGCTGACATGCAAGAACAATTACGTAAATTAAAAGAACAAGAAAAGAGAGATGAAGAATTTGCCAGACAACTACATGAAGAAGAATTAAGATCTACGAATCCTAATTATAATGAAAATGAAAACGTAACATCTGATCATAATAACTCAACTTCAAATGATTCACATGATAATTCTCGATTAAATTCCATGAAGCCCACTACTAGTTTTGCAAATGAATCAACGGGATATAACAAAACGCCAACTTTGAACGAATCAAATTCAACAACAGATTCCAACAAGGAAAAAACACTTCCACCACCACCAGCTTCTTCATCATCTATATCATCGTCAATAACTGCATCATCCACAAACATTTACTCATCCACAAATGTAACAACACCATCACCTTCTTCCGAACGAGAAGAATATTACAGAACACGTCCCCCACCTTCTCCACCTTCCGCTGTTATACCTCCAAAACTTCCTCCAAGAGTTCCTTCCTATTATTCAGATAACTCCAATTCACTTCCTACTACAACTCTACCTCCTTCACCACTTCCTCCATCACCTTTTCCTCCAGGAGTTCCTTCCTATTATCCAAATAATTCCAATTCTTATCCTTCACCACTTGCTCAAGGAGTTCCATCCTATTATTCGGACAATTCTTCTACTTCATTTCCTCCTAATTCATATCCCCCTCCTTCTTGGAATTCAACTTATCCTAATGCTGCTTATACAAAAACGGAGAATAATCATAATCCTTATGTTATGCCAACGCCCTCAATACCCACATTTTCTAGTCAATATCCTCTTAATAATTATAATAGTGGTGTAACTTCACATACTGGTCCTACTGGTGGTGCCGTGAATTATGGTACGGCCGATTCTCAATCTATTAATTATTATCCAAATCCCCCAAATCCACCGGTTTCTGGACCTACTCCTTATTATCCTCCTCAATTTGGGAATGCTAATGATAATAGATATAGTGGGTACAATACGGGATTCAATGGATATAATAATGGATATAATAATGGGTACGGTGGTGGATTTAACCAGTAGTATTTTATAACGCTGTAAGGGAAAAAGGACGCTTTTATATTTATCATCTTGATCATTTGTGTAGATATTTATAATCCATAGATCGTATTATTTATTTGTGTAAAGTAATAAACAATCAATATATTGAGTAATAAAAATATATTAAACTTTATTACTGACAAATTTAATCGGAAAAAAAAAAAAAGGTACTTTTGTCTAATTTAATTACAACACAAAAAACATTTGCATATTATAATATATAACAATCAATTTAACAAATAAAAAAAAAAAACATAAAAATAAAAAGATTGTTACATGTAAAAATGCATAATTACAATATTGTAAAAACAATAAAAATTATTTCGAAAATTAAATGATTCTCTCTTTCTTCAATAACCTTTTTACTTTCTTTTTTGAAATGTAAGTTCTTTATTTTTTTTTTGGTTAAATAAGGTTATTGATGATAATAATATCAGAAAAAAACGTCAAACTTTTTTTTGAATTAGATATATAATGATGTATCATCCAAAGTGAAATTGATGCTTTCCATTATGATATCCACTAGTTCTTTGCCTTGGAAAACCCTGTGAAGAGAATCCTCCAAATGAGGATCCATGGAATCCTGAATTTCCACCAAATCCTCCCCTTGTTCCTCCTCCCATATTAGGCATTTCCCCTCCCATAAACATTTGGAAGAATAGATTAGGATCTACTTCAAAGTCCGATGATCCATTTAATCCATCAATATCAACTCCACTATCATATCTTTGTTTCTTGTTTGGATCCCCAAGAATTGCATAAGCTTCTCCAATTTCTTTAAATTTAACTTCCGCATCAGAATCTCCACAATTTTTATCAGGGTGATGCTGAAGTGCTAATTTTCGATATGCTTTTTTAATCTCACTCTCGGATGCATCTTTACTGACTCCAAGAATCTTATAATAATCTTTTCGTTGTGATTTTTTGAGTTCTAGTTCAGCGCTTCTTAATTCTTTACGAATATCAGGATTATTACTTTCCAAATCCATCGCAAGTTTTAAATCTTGTACAGCTTCTTCATATCTTTCTAATTTGATGTATGTATCTGCTCTTCTCCTTAATACTTTGACAAAATTAGGATCTATTTCTAATGCTTTACACATATCACTTAATGCTTCCGTATATTTTCCAAGTTTAATTAGAACTGCTGACCTATTTGAATAAAGTTTAGACATCATGCCCGCATTCGATGGATCGATTTCAAGAGCTGCACTATAAATATCATATGCTGATTTATAATCCTTTATTTTGAAAGCATCATTACCAGCCTTCTTTTGACTTTCAAGTGCTCTTGATTTCTTTAAATAATCGTATTAACAATGATTAAAGGTAATAGCGTTAAAGAAAATAAAATAAATAATATCAAACTAATAACATTAGATAAAGTTAGTTACCTTCAGTAATATACGTGCTTTTGAATTATCTGGGTCGCAACGCAATGCTTCCTGACAGTGAGCGGAAGCCTTTATATTATCTCCCTCGATGTACAATATTCGTGCTCTCAACACATGAGCATCAGGATTTTTTGAATCCGAACGTAAAATTTCACTAAAATAATATATAAATTCTTTGGTTAGAAATTCGTAGGTCATAAAATGAATTTTTTTATGTTTTATTTACTTCGCCATCCTTCCCGCTTCTCCAAATTCTTTTTGCTCTAATAGTGCTTCACCCTTCATTATTTTCCATTTGGTTGGGACTTCATCCAAAGAGGTCGCTGCTCTATCAATCGCATTCAATGCCAAAGGATATTGCTGATTTTTTAAATATACTTCTGCTTGGTGAATGTAACCTTGAACTTGGAGCAACTGCGCATATTCAGCTTTTACTTGTGAGTTTGTATCATCAATGCTTAGTACATGCTTATACATTCGTTCGGCTTCACTTAGGTTACCAAGTAAAAAATTACATTTTGCACAACGAATGTAAGCTTTAATTAATGATGGATCCAAAGAAATTGCCCATTTACAATCATTTAGCGCTTCTTTTGGTTTCCTCAACATCATTAAAGCAGCGGCTCGGTTGTTATAATATGTTGGAGTATTTGGATCAAGATCTGTAAAATTGAAAATTGAAAAGGATATCAATAATGTGTAATCGAATTAGCCATGAATTATGAGATTTTTTTCACGAACATCTCGAACACCATTCAATCTATCGATGTATGATTTGGAGTGTCCCCACATTCTGTATTAGCCTTCGTCTAAGCCACTCTTGTATATAACACTTACTAAATACCCTTGTAAAAAGTATGCTAAGGTATCGGCCCAAATTTTATAAAGTACCCATCAAAAAAATGCAAATATATAGTAGTTCGGATTAAAGTACTCATAAATATTACTCGAGTACTTTACAAATTTGTCAATACCCAGTAAATGGCGTTGATTAAAAAATTGATTGGACACCTAATTAACTTACCTATAGCTTGGGTATATAAAGTAACGGCTTGATTATAGTTTCCACGTTTATAACTTTCGTTTGCTTCATTTTTAATATCTTCCGCAGAAATTGGTCTAATTGAATCCAAAAAAAAAAAAAAAATAGAGATCAATAACCCATAACGTTATTAAATCTTTCGATTAACGCCTTGCTTTTCTTTTTTTGAACAAGTACGAATTCTGTATAGTTTTCAAAAAAAACGAAGATTATAGGCCGATATTCTAAATTCCTTCTCGATTGTTCTTTACTTAAGTGATTATTATTATTCTTATTTTTTTTATTTAAATAAATAGATTCTCAACCTGTATGACAAATTGCAAATCCTATTGTACTATGACTACAATTATGAAAGAAAAAAGTTTCTTTTAAGCTACTCTTAGACAAGAGACTTTTTTTCTGTGAGGATCGAGTTTTTTCATAGACCCAGCACATCTTGAAAATGTTAGAGTACTCACGTATTAAATTGTTCTGGAATATCGGTTTCCATAGCAGTAGCCATACTTATTAAGATGGTATTTATAATGTAAAAAAAAAAAAAAGGCTTAAATAACTATAAAATTAAACGAAAAAAATTATTATTGAAATTGAGTACTTTTTGAATTAAGCATTGAACCCCCTTTTTTAGGGCTAGTAAAAATCGGTAATATGGATCAAAAGCTTGAGGTAAGCGCCGGATGGAAGCGCGTAGAAGGTCAAAGAAAAATCCAATTATTCCTGACAATTAAAGACAATTGTCTATCATAGGGATTTGGTTCTTTTGCTTGTGATACTTAATTGAAACTTGGTATCGAATATAATTCAACTATAGAAAAAGAAATTACATTTGTGGCTTATGAGACAATTGCCTCTTTGGCCCAGTGGTAAGGCGTCGCTCTCGTAAAGCGAAGATCGGTGGTTCGAATCCGCCAAGGGGCTACTAGCTACATCATTTTTCTTTTTTAATGGTGAAACAGGAAATCTGCAATTTTAAATAATTTTTTTTTAAATTTCCCCAAAACTGATATACCCCTCCAGAATCGTAGTACAAATAAATATTTACGCAAATATTTATTGCTATATTTATTTGCTATTTATATATGACATTTACTTTTTTACCTAAGAGAGATATATATACATTGTGTGTTTCATTAAAATAGATCAATAAAAACCAGTTTGTACAATAAAAAAAGTTATTAATAATACATTTTAAAAAAACGTACCTTGTTCCCTTTTTTTATTATAATTTTTTTTTTTATTTTTGTATTTTTATTCTTCTTTAAAGAGTGAGAGTGTTTAGATCTGTCAACTTTCAACGTTAATAAGCAATAATCTAGAAGTATAGTTAAAATAAATAATATAAAATGGGTTCACTTGACGAAAAATCTGATGAGAAACCCTTTCTTCCGGCTCCAGCAACCTCTGCATCCGCATATGCTCACCGTCAAAAACAACATTCTCCAACAATCATTCTACTGGTGGTCGCGTTTTACTGGCTTGCTTCTCTAGCAGTAGTATTTTTAAATAAATTTATTCTAAGTAGTTCGGAGTATAAATTTCCATATCCATTATTTGTAACATGGTTTCAACTCCTCGTCGCGTTGATTATCCTACTGGTTTGGGGAACTTTGGGAAAAAGGTAATCATCAAATTGTAAAAATGTGGAGGGTGAGTGGTAGAGCGAGAGAAAAGGGTTGGCGTCATCGATGCATCTTTGATGTCTAGTAGGAACCTGTGTTACCTTTTGTACTCACCCAAAACCATGTTTTTGTAAATTCTACATTTTTTGAACACGTGCAACCAGTTTTAAGACCTTCTCTCTTATCCCGCCGTTTGAATTTGATATGAAAATTGCCCGCAAGGTAATACCTTTGACGTTTATGTACGTTATGATGTTGGCCTTCAACAACTTGTGCCTACAATATGTAGAGGTTACATTCTATCAGGTTTGTTATATTTGAATTAAACTTGGGAGTGATCTTGGTATTAATTAAAGAATGAATTTCAAATAGCTCATAATATAATCAATTAGGTTGCACGTTCACTTTCAATCCTTTTCAATATAACTTTCACATATACTCTACTTGGAGCTAAAACTTCATTTGCCGCATTGATTTGTTGTGGTGTTGTTTTCCTTGGATTCGTGATTGGTTCCTACGGGGAAATAAACTTTTCTTGGGAAGGAATCATTTACGGTGTCGCTTCCAGCGCATTCGTTGCATTGTATGGCATTTATGTTAAAAAGACCCTTAGCGCAGTGGACAATAACCAATGGTAAATTAAATACACCCTTTACATCGTTCGTTCACCTATAATTCACCAACTAATGTCATTTTGATTTATCCTTCTTTAGGCGACTACTCCATTATAACACAACTTTATCAATAGTTTTCCTTTTCCCATTAGTACTTTTTTCCGGTGAATTACAAAGCATTGTCAACGTGTATTTCTTGGATGATTGGGGATTTTGGACATTGATGACTATCACCGGCATCACAGGATTCGTCATCAACATTGCAATGTTCTTGCAAATTAAATTCACAACACCTTTAACAAACACAATTTCA